CCCCGATAAAAGGGATGGGGATGGCACCCCGGGATCCCCACCCGCCCTGCCTGCTCCTCTCCCCATCCCACACATCCCGAGGCTTGGAACTCTGCACAGCCCCCCCATCACCTTTGGGGTGCGGGATGAAAAGGATGAGGATGCCCTGCATAAAATGCACCCCAAAACGTGCTGGCAGCAGCCTGGGCTCCAGAAGAGACAATCCCCTCTGGCATCTCACCCGCCAAGGTGCTGACCCCCAGGAGGGGTTTACAGGTGGGGTGGGGAGAGGTTTGGGTTTGAGACCCAAAGCTAGAACACGGTTTGTTGGCAACCCCTCCCTCCAGCCCGGCTTCATTATCAGAGGAAATAACAACCACACATGGCCCGCAGCAGAGAATGCCCCCTCCAAGGTTTACAGCTGGCTGCGGCTGAAACCAGCTAAATGAACCGTGCAGACTTGGTGAAAATCAGTTAAGGAAAGGGAGGAAAAGAAAATAATAATAAAAAAAATCACCCAGCCACTTGCCCGTGCTTCTAAATATAGAGCCAGCTCTGTCCGTCTTAATAGAAGGGTCATAATTGCTCCCGCCGCTTTGCTGGGCTGAGTGGGGGCCCTAATTACTCGCCCGTAATGATGCCGAGTGTTAATTCGGGGCAGTTGAGGGTTATTGGTGCCTTGCAGCCAGCCCAGCGCAGCAGCCGCCGGGAAATTGCCCCGGCCCGAGCGATTAGAGGTGCTAATAGCCTGGCTTAAGGGGCCCAGCACCTCCCTGCACCAGCCCAGGCGTTTTTCCTTCCCGCTGCTTGAAACGACCGTGCTGGACAGGAGCAGAATTGCATCCACATAAACATCCCGTTCCAGACCAGCCCGAGTGTTCTCCAGCCGTTAAACCCCATCGCTGGGGTTTAAGTCACTTTTTCATGCTCACATCCACTTGAGTCTTCTCCAGACCGGAGCCTTTGTGGTGTGAAATAGGCTGTAAGAGGCTTAGTTATTTCCCAGAGGAAGGAAGGGGAGAAGCTGGTGGCATCTCCCTATGGCCAGGAGCTCGTGGAGAGGCTGGGCTGTATCTCCAGCCCTGAGCTGTGCAGATCCCTCCTTTCCAAGGGTCCCTGGTCAGCTCTGCCCTCCCTCCCCTCCCCTCCCCTCCTTGCCTGTGTCCCCCCGCTGTTTCCCAGCTCCTGGGTTTTCCTGTGCTCAGGAAACGTTGGATAAAAGCAAGATACTAATTGCTGAGGCCCCTTCCCTCCAGCCCTGGCCCTGGCGAGCTGTCACCACCGCTCTCCTCACCCCCGTGTCGGAGATGATGGATCTGTGCTGCAGAAAATGATGGAAAGAGGTAAGTTACACTATTGGATGCCTTGAATTTCCCATCCCTGGAGCCCCAGCGTCGTGCATCCTGACATGAAGAGCTTTAAACACTTCGTGGCTGCAGAGACCCTCCCAGAGGGACAAACATCCGCTCAGCCACATCCTCCCCGCTGCCGCTCCACGGAGCAGGGGATGAGGCAGGGCTGGGGAGCTGAGGCTGCTGCCTACCTGCCTGGAAAGGTCACCCAGCAGCTGCTGTTTGGGTGCTGGCAGGAGCATCACTTCCCTGAGCATCCTGAGAGGCAGCTTGTGTACAGAGAGGCTGCACTTGAGGCAGAGCTGGGAATTCATCACCAGCCGTCGCCGGTGGCAGGAATGAGGATGAGAAGCTGCTGCCAGTGGTTGTGCTCAGATGGTGGCTTGCTCCAGGCTCTGCTCCAGAAACCCCAGCGTTGTGCTTTGCTTTACAGGCACGTTTCCCAGGGCTGGGCTTTGGACCACGGCAGTCGCAGACCTGAGCTGATCCAACTGGAGAGGGGAGCGTGTTGCAAACTGCTTGGCCGTGAGGAGAGCTGGGATGTGCAGCTGCTGGGCTGGGCTCGAAGCACTGCAGCTCTCCCGCAGCACTGGAAATGTCAGCCCTGGGCTGGGAGCACTGGTCTGCTGCTCCTGCCAGGCCAGCTGGCGTGGGGCTCGCAGCTCCAGCGTGCTCCTCTGAGCATCTGCTCACACGGCCAGGACAGAGACAAGCCTCTGGTTGGGAGCTGGAGCCACAACGGTGATGAGAACAGATCCACCCCCTGGGGCAGCAAGGGCTGCCCTGCTGGTGGGGCACAGCCAGCCACCCCTAACCCGACCCGCAGGCACCTTCCCCTCCCCAAAGGGCAGCAAAGCAGAGGTGCAGCCACGTCCCTCTGTCCCCAGTGGTCCTGAGCTCCCTGTGGGAAGGCAGGTTGAGGCATAGTAGCCCACACAGCAGCTCATCTCCTGCAGAAAGACCTTGTTTGCTGTTTGAAAGGACCCTGATTTGACTACGTGTAGGTGCTGTGGCGCTAGCTGGAGAGGGTGTTTTGCTCCTGTGAGTCAGTGAAGGACATAAATGCTGTGATGGATCCTAGCAGAGGCACATTTGTTGTCCAGTTCTCCTCATAAAATTGTCTGATCTCTCTCTTCTGCAAGAACAAGTGTCGACTCAGCATCCTGTTGCTCTAAGATTGTTTAATATACAAGCCATGGAGAGGGGTAGGGTTAACACCAGCTAAAACTACCATCGAACACAGCCAGATTATTTTTCTCCTGTTCCAATCACACCAACCACAACAGCCCATCCCTCCGCAGTCCTCCTGCAACCCGCGAGCACTTCCACGCCAGCAGCAGCTCTCTGCACGCCGAGTTCTACAATCACACGTCCCCCTGCAAGCCCTGGAGCTGCAGCTCCGACCACGGGATCCCGCTTTGATTTCCAGGCTGTGAAGGTGCTGCCTAGAAGATGCATCCAAGGCTCAGTCCTCCCCAGCAGCAGAGACTCTCGGGAAGCCGAGCGGGGGTTTGGGAGTGGGAGAAGGAGAGGTTTTGCAGTTGCTTCGGCGCAGAGAGGAGGTGGCTGAGCTGCCAGGAAATGCTCTTCTCCTTTGCACTTCAAATCCTTCCTTCTCAGTGATGATGTTCCTGCCTCCAGGCTGGTTCCCCAGTCCCCCCCCCTGCAGCCCCCCGGCTCTCAGCGGGCTGTGGCGAAGCCGATGCGGTTGTTGCGCCGGTCGAATTTGGTGTAGTAGTGCCCGATGAAGCTGGCACCCAGGATCCAGAGGGGACCAGCTGGTGGGGGGATGTCCAGCCCTGAGAATGCCACCACGCAGATGTCCTCCCCGTACTGGGATTGCTGCAAAGAAGAGGAGTCCCCTGAGGTGATGAAGGTGCCAGATCTCCAGGAAGGGCTGTGACCTCCAGCTCAACACCCTCTGCTTGCCCCCAGTGTTCCTTCCTCCAGGAAGGAGGATCCCAGCCTGTCTCTGCTCTTTGCTGCTCACCCCAAATCACCCCAAAACCACCTGAGGAAGCAGAGACAGGTCTGGTTCATCTGGACACTTCAGCTGAGCAGGAAGGTTTGGGGAAAAAGCAGCAGCACCGTTCTGGGACTTCTCTCAGCAGCGTCAGGGGAACCAGCAGGGTGCAGGATGGTGCTGGAGAGCTGCACCACTCTCCCCGGGGACAGCCACCGTCCCGCCCTGCACGGAGGGGTGCAGCTTACCCGGAGGACGTAGGCAGAGCCGCCGAGCACGTAGATCTTCCCACCCAGGTGGAAGGAGATGTTGGGCAGCTGAGGGACTCGGTCGCAATCCACCACGTACTGCGGGGGGAGGAGACGGCGTCGAGCCCGTTTGCTGGGCCAGGGACGGGCTGGGGTCTGGTGAGATGGGGAGAGGGGCCCAGGGGGGTTCTGCTCACCTCTCCTTCGGCCATTTCTGCTGCCCCAATGGCTTTCATCAGGACGGAGACGGGGCCAGCAGGGCCTGTGATGTAGGAGGCTCCCGTGTCGACGGCCACGGAGCAGCCGTCCGTGCAGAACAGGATCTCAGCCCCCACGGACACCCTGGGGCAGGAGGGGAGAGGGGTGACCCCGAGTCTCGCATGGGGACCACAGCTGAGCTCCCAGGGATGCCCACGGGTGACTGTGCCTCATCTTTGAGCAGGGAACCCTGGCCAGGCAAAGGATGTGCTGTTCCCAGTGCCCCCAGAGCAGAGACTCTCCTGGGGCACTGGAAAACTTTCCTTCAAGCCTCTCAAATGTAAGAGCTGAGCTTCAGCACATGGGGTTTGCTTCTTTTTTGGTGTTTTTTTTTTTTTGGTTGATTAAACAAAAAAGGAGTGGCTGTTCCCAGTGCCCCCGGAGCAGAGACTCTCCTGGGGCACTGGGAACCTTCCCTTCAAGCCTCTCAAGTGTGAGAGCTGAGCTTCAGCACGTGGGGTTTGTTTCTTTTTTGATTATTTTTTTTGTTGATTAAACAAAGCAGGATTGTTTGAGTGCCTCACACTCCTTCCACAGCACTGAAGGGAGTTCAAGCTCCCCAGCTGACTCTGCCCCACGGTGCCACCCCCTCCAAATTCCCCAGCTCCTGGCTCCTCGCTGAGCGTGGAGATGCAACTCTGTGCTGGAGGAACCCGATGCAGAGGGGAAAGCACCTACCAGCAACCACCCCCGGGGACCACCTCCCCAGAAGCCAGCAAGCCTTCCCCAAGCCCAGCACCCTCGCACGCCCTGGGGGGTCAGCAGGATGAGGCCCGGTGCTGTGCAGAGACACTCCCTGGCCTCACCCCTTCATGCTGATCTGCCAGTAGCCGCTCTTGCTGATGTTCAGGTAGTGGAAGTCCCCCGTGTAGTAGGCTGGGTCGCTGCCTCCAAGGATTATCTCCCCTCCGGGTTTCAGAGGAGTGTTCCTAGGGTGTAAAACACAGGGCAGTGATTCCTCCTCGGCTCTTGGCCCTGAAAAACCATCGAGAAGGGACCAGCCATGGCCACGAGGTTCTGCTGACCCCTGTGAGCAGTGATGGAGAGCGATTTGGAGCAGAAGAACCCCCCAGGTTAGTTCAGAGGGGTGAGGGAGCCTGCAGGAGAGGGGGTGCCACATGCTGAGGTCTCCGAGCAGGTCAGTGCTGGCTCCTTTGGGCAGAGCCTGGCATGGGTGTGGGAGCTCCAGTGCCCAGCAGGACTCTCCTGGGGCTGGCAGCAGGAGCAGGGTGCACTGCCCAGCCCTGGGGTGCAGGGGTGAGTGTTAGTGGGTGCCAACTCGAGGAGGGCTGGTGCTTTTTGTCTTCTTACTTCGAAGCTCTGCAAAGAGAGAGAGAGAGAGAGATGCTCCATAAGCCTGTGGTCCGAGGGCAGCTGTGTCCCCAGGGTGCCCAGGGGACCCAAGCAGCACCCAGACTGGCAGCCAGCACCGTTGGCTTTGTTCGTTATTGATGGATCCACGTTTAGCTGAGCTTTAATCGTGTGCTCGGGGGGCTTTTGGTCACTGCACATGGCCAGGCTGCTGTGCTTGGGCCCAGTGGGGAGTGTTGGGGTGGGGGACAACACTCCTGCTCTCCCAGGGCAGGCCCCCCACTGTCCCTGTGGGTTGTGGTGCTGCTGGGAAGGAGGGATGCTGGGGCACAAGTTTGGAGCAAGAAATGAAAGGAGGTTTGGCTGCTGGTGCAGGGTTTTCTTTAAGAGATGATTTTTTCTTTTTCTTTCATTTTTTCCTGTCACCTAAACACGGAATCCACGCCTGGCTGTGACTGCTCCAGCCCCACTAGCAGAGCTGGTGACTTTGTGCTGCCTGACAGTGACAAAGGAG